CGGCTAATGAGCGGTTAAGAAACGAATTAATGTTATAGAAGTAATTTTTTAATTGGTCCCAGACAACGGTCGCAAATTTCACATTATTGTGATCTGAAATGTGTGTCTAAAACGAAATGTCACTGTCAAATTAAAGTCAATATGGTTGTTGATTGATGTCAGAAATAACTATGATCTTTTTAAAATGGATATTAAATATTTAAGAAAAATGTTAATGGAATATCCAGATGTAGCCAGATTAGTATAAAATATAAAGATCTGTTTACATTTTTAAGGATATATTTGTTATAGGTATAAAAAGTAAAAGTTGATCAGTGCATGACAAGTGGATCACACAGGAACTGGTATCTCTTCTATGAGTAATGTGGATATTATGGCTTATTTAGGGTTAAACCATGGTTAGTGCGCTAGAGGGCAAATAAAGGCATTCAAAACTTTACAGGTCTATGAGTCAGAATTTGTTTTGAAAACTGGACCCAACATTTTCATAACACTACATGTCAACATATATTTTTTAAAGAAAACTATTCATACATACCTATGTATTAATTTTAAGTATTTTTAAAATATTTTTTTGTGAAAATAATGTTAACTCATTGTGCCAAATTAAGATTATCCCTAAAGTAGTAGATGGTGTTTTAAATGTTATAACTATTTTGTGAATAGTTTTATTCTATTCTAATAAATAAAATTTGCTTGAATATTTAGTTACATTTTAATTATTTTGGTTAGAAATTCATCTTTTATTTTTAAAAAATCAGTAATAAAATTATTTTTTTCTAAAATACTTCGGAATTCATCTCTTCATGGTAATCTCCCATCTTTTCACCTTCAAAAACCAATAATGCATTTTCTACAGAACCTTCAGAATCAGTATGTAAAATAAGGTGTCTTCCCTTTCTTGTAAGGCTTTTCAGGAATTGCTACCTTTAATAGTACTCAGTGTAGAAGGATCCATAATTGTAGATTTTCAATACAATTGCTTACTGAAGAACTATTATTTACGAAATAAAGTAAAAAACTAAGTAATGGATGAGATATCAAATTATAAAATGTCAGAATTGTCAACAATATCAATTATTAGCTGATGTTCATGCTAAAAAGTAATGTGTGAAACTGACTGTAATCTGACCAATCAGAAGGCTACAGAATTGCCAACTTAAATTCAAATCGCTCCTCTTAGTTTAAAAACAGAGATAATAATTGATAAATTAGGTGAAATTGTAAATATTCAATTCACATATTTTTAAAAACAATTTGTACAATACTTATTTTTATTTCTCTTAATAATAAACATAAACTGTCACTCTCACAACACTCATACTATAACATTATCTTTAAAAAGGTGGGCAACATTACAATTAGGCATTCCAAACAAATGAATTACCAGTGGGCAGGTTTGGTATATCTAAGGGTGGCGACATATGGTGTATTCTATCTACTTTACGTAAAATCATGAATAATGGATTACATTTAAATATTTTATGTCAAACACATTAAAAATAATATTTAAAAAACCCACCTATACATTTCTTCATAAATTGGCAGGCTTGGCAAGTACTACTTCGAATAAAAATAGCGTCCAAGTTGCAAGACTATGTCGCTACCCCCTTAAATATACAAGAATTTCCCACTGGCACCTATTGTTTGACAGGTCGTTGGAATGCCTAATTTCGACTGGTTAAATACCACTCGACTTTATGTCTAACAACAAATGTCGAATTTGCCATTCGAGAATACGTTTATGCGTTCTCATTCGACATTTCATCAATGTCGGGTGTGACATTTAGAAATAGGCCTTTGAAGAATGGGGCCCCAGATTCTAGAATTAGGGATTATATACAAGTAAAAAATAAAAATTTGAATTTAAATTAAATTTTAATAATTTTGACCGTTAAGTTTACAATCACATAAAAGGGCAAATAATGTGGTCCTTTGAAATACCAGTGCATACATTTAATTTTTGAGGATAATGTAGAGAATGTAGGAATATTTAAATATTTATTTTTCCAAGCAGAATGTCTCTGGATTGTTAGTGCAATGAAAAAGTTGATTTGTCGGTAAATAAAATGTATTTTAAAGAGTTTTTCATTTTGACTCTGCTGATTTGTCATAAATTCGCAAAACTCTACAAAAAAAAACAAAGTAACCAATTTATGCTATACCTATTGTAACAAGTGACAAGTAGGTATGTTTAGCTCGATGTTTATTGTACATTGTTCAGCGATTCGATTACGATGATCTCCGACGTTTTACAAATATTGGCTTGCAATAAATAGAGATGATTGTATCTACACTAGATGGCTCGTATAATTTTTTCCTAACCTTTATATCCAAACCATCTCAACATACCTTCCTGAATATTTGAAACTACATCTTCTTTCATTCTACAACGCTTTCTTAAAATTAACTTAATAAACTTTAAAATTGTAAGTCTTAGTTAAATTACAGGTGCGTTAAATAAAACTTGGTATTTTTTTAATACCAGTATTATCTATATCTTTAACGTATAGAGGGTGGGTTAACCCGTGGCAGTTAGGCTTCACTAGGCCCATTGTTTATCCTCCTAAGTAGATAAGCACCTCCTAGCTCGTAAGCTAGCCTACAGATTTAATGTAGTTGACATCGTCGAAGAGGTGCGCCACTTATATCGGCCGGTGTTAGCCAATTCTCGCCGAACACAAATCTTCTAATAAATAAGAGCGTCGGGCAATCGAAGATGATATGCTCAATGGTTTCATCTTCTTGTTCGCATCCCCTGCAGAGTACGGATTCTGCCAGCCCCATGATATGGAGATGCTTTCGTGGTGATCAGGCGCAGATTCTGCCTAGTCATAGTCAAGTATTTGTTTGCTCCAATGTTCTCAGAATAACTTAAAAGCCCCCTGCCAAGTCTGCAACTTCTTGTGTCATTCCTTTTTTCCTTGAATTTCACAAGGGAATGTTCTTTAATTATCACTACTGATGTTGTCAGTAAAATAGAGGGGTTAATTCCAAAAAATATTTGGTTGGCTGCCTTCTTAGCAAGTGAATCGTCAAGATGATTACCTTTAGATATGGCGTGACCTTTGATCCATATAAAGTTGACCATATTGTTGATAAATATTTCGACCAAAGCTTCGTGGCATTCTAGTACTAACCCAGAATAGATTCGAACGATATTATTTATTAATAAAATTAGATTGTATCATATTTAAAATTGTTGTTTTGAAATAGAAAATGTAAATATCACAATTTCAACTGGCTTGGAAAGTTATTCAAAATGGAACCTTGGAGGAAATATAAAGCGCTTCGGGCAGAGGCAGATGAAAGTTCTAACTGCAGGGGTGCAAATTTTTACTACAATTCTAGTATTTCCTGCGGGGATAATAAATAAGAAGTAATATATTCTACGACATACGTTGATATTTTATCTTTCTGGAAATGGTTTCTTAATAACTCGCCTAAAGATGAGGACACATAAACACCAACTAATTATGAAAAAAATAAAAATATTACAAGCTGCCATTACAAAGTTACAATCGCACCGTATGTGCGAGCCCGTGCGTTTTAGTTTGTGGAAGAGTCACACTCAAGGGACCAAAGAGCCGCATGCGGCTCGCGAACGACGGTTTGCCGACCATTATCCTAGGCTTATATACTGCTCGTTTTTTAATAACAGTCATTTTAATAAAAACATCAATGATTCGTATGTTGCCAAATACGTTTGCCCATACTAGATTTGTATGTAATGTGAAATGCCAGCAGCAGCTTATCGTCAGGAATGAAGCTGTGGAAGTCGTTGTTTTAGGACATGTTGCATTCAATCATACTTAAAGTACCCGTCAACTAGCTGAAGCCTTGGTTATCTCCCGCTCGTTCATAATAAGGATTTTAAAAACACACAAAATTCATCCGTACAAAACTAAATTAGTCCAGTACCTGCACAGAGATTATCCTGATAGAAGGTTGCAGTTTGGTGAAGAAATGACCCAGCGGACTTATTATTTAATATGGTTTTCAGATTAGTGTACATTTTATTTCAATGGGCATAATTACCTTTATTGGAATTACAGTAACTTACATTTATTCCGTGAGGTTCATACCAAAAACACCCTGAAAAATTAAACGCCTGATGTGGCATATTAGGTAATTATCCTAATATGACCCTCTTATAACAGAAATAGTAGAAGATTACCAAAATCATAATGATGATCGGAGTGAATGTAATCTACTAAGTAATGAACTAATTATGTAAAAGAAAACTTCTGATTGGCCACTAGTGGGTTAGCGCGCACTGTTCTAATCAATTGGTATCATTGTATAAAACTAAACATACTGTATGCCCGCATTCACGTGATCTATTCTTTCTCATCCCATATCCAGATAGCAAATAGTAGTCTTCCAATGCTTCTATTAATGTTTTAGAGACCACTGAAACTAAATTAGAACATTAATAAGACGAATTTTAGACATTCTCGTCGTATTACTTATTTCTGATAGTTTTTATCGACAGTATACTAGATTTTTAGTAGCGCGCATGACATGGTTCTGATAATATTTTCCAAATCATCAAGAGGCATCTCATCCTAGGTTAAATTAAATCTGATCTGATTATAAATTTAATGATTCTAACTACTAAATATAAAATATGAAATAAATCAGGAAATCTTGGTGGCCATAGCAAAATATTTGAAATGAGCATTGCCATTATTTTCCTAGAAAAATAGCTTCAACAGCATCGAAGTTCTCATTCTTTCTTAGAAGGTCACCTGTAAACAGTATTATAATAAATAAAAAAATAATAATCTACTAAAATGATTAAATTTTAGCAAATATATTAAAATTTGTTTAAATTGTATACAAACTAAACAGAATACAACATCAAATGATCCGAATTTTTTATAATGTACTCCTTCAGCCGAACCTGCTTTTATAATACCATTGTGGCCTCATTTTTTAGATAAATGCTTTTCACTTACGTACAAATATCAACACAAATTTTCTAGAAGTGTAACATTTCATTCCCAATCAATTTCAGTTAACTATATATAATAAAAACCATTTTATTTTATAGATAAGGGACTAATTTTTATACTTTAATTTTTATACTATCAGAGTCAAAAAAAAAATGGATATAAATGACTTGGCAGAACTCTACGGCGAAGAGCTTCAATTGAAGAAGTTAATAAGAAACAGCTCCGCTAGAGCTCAAGAAATTGCAAAAAGAGCAAAGTTGGATTCATCTGATGGACAAACCATCGAGGACCATGATCAGTTTTATAAAGATCACAAGTTGCTTCTGTTATTATTTAGGGTAAGCTCTATTTTTTTCAAACAATATTCATTAAATTTTAAAGATTCATTAAATATTTCTTATGTTTTTGTAAGTGGTTTAAATCGTAGGCCCAATTATGATCTTTTGGGGTACTACAAAGTTCAAATAATGGGTCGCTTCTATTCGAGTAATTTATTAATGATCTTAGACAAATTATTTCCAGTAGACGATTGCTTTGCTGACTTTAAAATAATGACAAATAACACATTAGATGCGCTTGATGCATATTTTTTTTTCAGATTCTTGGTGTCATGCCCGTTCAACGTGGAAAAATTGGAAAAATAACTTTCGGTTGGCTGAGTGGTCCAATGATATACGCATACGTTTTTTACGTCATTACAACCGTTATTGTACTTATGGTTGGCTACGAAAGAATCGATATATTGTTAAACAGAAGTAGAAAATTCGACGAATATATTTATTCTATTATTTTCATAATATTTTTGGTACCGCATTTTTGGATCCCATTTGTGGGGTGGGGGGTAGCAAGAGAAGTTTGCATTTATAAAAACAGTTGGGGCACTTATCAGTTACATTTTTACAAAATTACTGGTAAGTTACTATATGGGTTTTTGACATTTATGTCAATTAGACAATATCTGGTCAGGTTATTAGTACAAGCAGTCTTCATTTAGAATCGATAATATTAATTTTAATCATTTTAATAGAAAAGTTGACGTCATGAGTGGACTCCATTTTTATAGTAAAAAGTACAGCAACCCTATAGATGAAGACCATCGCATAAACCAAATTTTGACTTATTTATTAACGTCGCTTAGCTACAACTAAGTCAATGTACAGTGGTCCAATGATTACATAAAACTTGGCTAAAACTAACAACTTAATGAACAACAAAGGAAAAGAGAAAATCTCAAAGTCAGTGTCACTGAAACAATGACGGATAATTTTCCTACTAAAAGCAACTACTCCTTCTGCTAATACCGCAACAGGTATTGCATTATATTAAAAGGTAAATAGCAGAGATAGAAAACAATTTTCAATACTCCAACTTTGATTTTGCTCTCCAAGGAGAAAGTCATTCTTGGACCAGTTTCGTGCTTATTAAGACTCATCAGCAAGAAATATTTACATACATCTACACACTCTCCACTTGTGTTAACAGACTGGAGTCGAGATTGTCTATTTCTTGCGGATAAGTCCTAATAAGGATGAAACCGGTCCAAGAATGACTTTCTCCTTAAGGAGCAAAATCAAAGTTGGAGTGTTGAAAATTATTTTCTATCTCTGCTATTTACCTTTTGATATAATGCAATGTCTGTTGCGGTATTAGCCTAATAAGGAGTTGTTTTCAGTAGGGAAATTGTCGCAAGTTGTTTCTGTAGTGCTGACTTTGAGCTGGTCCCTACTTCTTTTGTTTTTTCTAGGTTTCTGTCGTTCTGAAATTTCAGAGACAATTGCTTCGAAGTCAAAGTCTGCTGAACTTGCGTTTTGAGAATGTTTGGCATTTTCAGCTTTTAAATCCTTGATGTCATTTTGAAGTTGTATAATTAAGGATTTTAGATCTTTCATATTTTTTCACATTGCTTTACATCTATTACAAGTTCAGTCGTAACCTTTGTTACTGTTTAAAGTGCGAACTTTTTTAATTGTTATATTAACACATGTATGTTAGCAGGTAAACAAATTTTTGTGTGATTACTAATTGTAGTATTGTAGAGAACATCGGCAGTCAAGAGCGGGGAGTGCGGGGAACCAATGCGGTAGTAGCGGACCGTCGTCAGCGCTTCCCCATGCAGAACGATTTGAGTCGCCTTAATTGTATAGTGTGGTCAGCTGTGGCTGTTAGCTGATTCTCACGTATCGGTAATCACTTGGTAACTAAATAACTATTTGACTAAATAATTAATAAAATCTAACATCAGAAGTAGGATTCGCTCACTAAAAGTACCACAGAAGTACCTGAGGGTTGACTATTCCTGTGAGTAATTCCAAGATTATTCATTCGTTAAATTTATCAGTTGGTTGATAGAAATAATGTTATTTTGGTGTTTGAAAAAAAAAAAAAAATTGCCACTATGAAGCTTATTGTTTTAAAAGAAACTTACTAGCTATCTAGCTCTAGAATAAATTATATTATTTTTTTTATAGTTCTTTCTGGAATAAATTTATAATTGAACTGTCTAATATATACCGGAGAGAAATGTAGAATGGCAAAAACTTCGAATTGTAATTTAGAGCACTAATAACGTTAAAAGATGTACGCAACGTAACTTTTAAAAATAGTAAAATACCATTAAGAATTGAATGCAATGGTATAGGTTTCAAAATTTGTTTTTATGATGTGGACAATTTAACAGTGGTCTACTACGCTATTTTGGATAGATATTGTCTTTATTTGCAGTCGTTTAATTTTGAAATGGTAGAAATTCGATGAGAACAAAAATGTTTTCTTCATTAAAAGGAATTTATATTATTTCTATCAATAACAGGCTGAAAAAAGGTTAGAAAAACAGAATTTGTTTAAGTTTGGAAATAACTATTCAACAATAAATACCACAGAGTTAAAAATAAAGCTATCTAGTGACCAAGTAATTATCACACGTATCATTTGTCGGCAAAAAGAAGAGAAAAGGTTTGGGAAATTATATATGAACAATTCGTATTGATTGTGTTGATCCGTAGTTTAAAATAACAAATAACCAGATAGTTTTAAACACGCTTTATTTATCGTCAATGCTTCTACAAAATATGTAATTCTATACCTACCCTTTAAAAAAACCGTTAACCAGAGCAGAAATGACTAAAACATTAGAGAATTATATAACGATGTTTGGTACGCTGGCACGTATTATAATTAACATAGAACAAATTTTACCGATAAAAATATCCTTATTTTTAAATATAAATATGAAGCGTCATCAAATTATAGCAGGGACGCTACTGGGCAAGTTGAAAGGTATGTTGTAACAATAATTAATTTATTAACTGTTGAAGTTAGAAATTTGTAAGAATGGACGAGCGCTCGTTCCAAATTACGATTAACTGTTAATTCTACCATTCGGAAAGTTAAGTACAGGTCAGGTTAATACCTAAGGAGTACCACTGAACTTCTCTACTGTTTTTATTTAGTAAAAAAAGTTAAATACAGCTGAGTTAAATATTTGAGAAGGAATACCTCTGAACCTTAATTTAAAGCATTCGAGGAGCATAGATTTATTTTGAATGATTTAAAAAATATATATAAATTGAAAATGCTGGACGGATATTGTTGAAATCCGAGGATCACAGATTTAATTTGGAAATTATTTTAAACATATTAATTGAAAAATGTCGGACGGATATTGTTGATATCAGAAAAGCAGATTGTGTTTTAAATTATTTTAAAATCTTAAATAAAGTGTTAGAAATAATAAGACATGAGGTGTTTTGTCATTTATTTGAAAATGCAAGGTTGTGTCTTGTTTCATAAAGTGACGAACGGGCGCAGCTTGTTGAATTAGAGAGGATGAGCAGGAAACTGTTTCGAAATAATTGTTATTTTTATTTGATACGTCTTTTCTTTTTGTTTAATATTTTTATAAATTAACACAATACAAATTATTAACCAGTCTTTACATAAAAAAGAGAATATTTCGGGAGCGAAATATAGATCAGTATAGTCGTGTTAGCAGGTAAGCAAATTTTTGTGTGATTCCTAATTGTAGTATTGTAGAGAATATCAACAGTTAAAAGCGGGGAGTGTGGGGAACTAATGCGGTAGTAGCAGGGCGTCGTCAGCGCTTCTCCAGGCAGAACTATTTGAGTCGCCTTGAGTGTCTAGTGTAGTCAGCTGTGGCTGTTGGTTGATTCTCACGCATTGTGTTCTATAGGTAATCACTTGGTAACTTAATAATTATTTGACTTAATAAAAAATAAAATCTAATTTGTATTCATAAAGTTGTGCTTGTACACGCTAATGTAACTTTATATTAGTTTCGTAATGTTAGTTGCAATATTTGCAAGTAATTCGGATCGATATTTCAGAAATTCTTTTAATAAGTATTCCTTCAAAAATATATTCGATGATACGTATCTAGTGAATAGCTTATTGAGTAATAAGAAGCAGTATTAAAAAAACAGGCCTATCGGCCAATGGCAAATGTTTGTGAAAACATACACGCAGATTATTAACTCGGTAATAAAGACCTGGGTACTAAAAAGCAAATTTTCAAACACAAAATTTTACTAAAAACAGCTTAAGAAAAATGCACAAATTAACCACGTTTTACTCACAATCAGTGCGGTGCATCTAATGGTATATATTAATGCATTTTTAGCAAAATTACTGCTACATGTTTTTTTGTTATTAAATACATCTCTAGGACCTTTCGCATTATCACGCCTTTCTCCCCGTCGAATCGGACCAATAATACAGAAGATACTCCAGTTTACGTGAAAGTTGGTCGCTACTGCACATGCGGCAATAAGACGAACATAGCTGATCTATTAAAACCTTCCTCGTCGAATCAAAGAGATCAAAATATTAAAAAAGTACCAAAAATATTGAAATTTGTATTGTGATATTTGACAAATCTGTTCAAGTTTCTAGTACATCAAGAACGTTTTCTTATATTCTTCACTATCAAAGTTGTAGCAGATGTTACTAATAACTGACTTCAGACTTCGATATTGTTTTGCGAATCTGTTCAAGTTTCTGGTACTTCAAGAACTGTCAATACGTCTGTTAGTCAATTTTTTCTTGCATGCTTCACTGTCAAAGTTTTATCAGAGTTAATAGTACGAATCAGATGTTACTAATAGCTGATGGAAAACATCGCTCATATGTTTTCCGACAATAATATTAACGATATGATTTAAGATGTTTATTTATAGCCTCTTGTACTCCTTCAGATAATTGTCAGATTATTATCATATTTTTCCTAGTCTTCGCATCGCTCCAAGTTTTTTTTTATGTACTGTTAGCTTCTAATTTATATTTTTAAATTTACGCGCCGTGCTACCGACCAACGAGTGCTGCGAATGTTTTGATTGGTCCAGAGAAACTGAGTAAGAAGCTGGCCATAAGCGGCAATCGCCGGTTGTATTCTGACAATAAAATGAGTTTAATTGAATTATCGTGTTTAAATATAATTGAAAATGAGTCAGTGATCTAATTTCGATAAAAAAATAAATAAACTTAACAGTATGTTCAGCAAAATTCTTTTATACGTTGTTTAATTTCTATTATTCCTTTCTTGTTAGAAAAGGGGTCCTTCCTAGGAGGTCCCATATAAATTTGGTCAAGATCTAATAATTGGGTCCATGAGAAAATTAGAGAACTCAATTTGTAATGGCATCTGCACGATTTTGGAGTCGGTATTTTAAAACGAGTTGGGCTACAGTATTGCTCCTTAAAAAAATTATACTAGCGACATAAGTTAGCATTTCACTGACGCATGCAATTACTAGATCTTAACTTTTCTGTTTCTCACCTCTTAAAAAGATCATTAATGTATGTAGTTAACTTATTTAATAGATTATCATCCAATACCACAATACCCTCAATATGTTTTTTAGGTAAAAACTTGGTATTTCCTCACCTAAGCACCCTCATCGTTATTATAAGTTTGGGTTGCTTTATACTGGCTGTTGTATTTCTTCTATCGCTGAGTGCTCTCTTAGAAGGGTACACTCTGTATCATACTACTGCTTATTACCACATAGTAATAATGCTTAATATGAACTCTGGCTTGTGGTATATAAACTGTAGAGCTATTATTAATGCGAGTCAAGCTTTAGCAAGACATTTTCAAGGGGTAAGTACGAAAAAAAATAGCTATTTGTGTATTAAGATTGGAAAGTGCTAGTTTGCCGCTTAAGATAAAAAGTTGCCACTTTCCGCTCGAATTACACACAAGATTTTTTCTACGATGACACGATTTTAAAAATATGTAGTTTTATTTTGCCGAATTCAAATCTTACTACGTTAATTTGACAGACACGGCTAACTTGACTAGCAAACGAAAAGTATGTTGAGTATATTGTGTTGCCTGCTTACCTTAGGATTAATTTTATGATACGCATAAAAAAAATTTGTTAGTAAGTACATCTTAAGAATAACTTACAAGATCATCAGTAAGAATAATCAAATCGCAAATTAATGGCTCATACACTGTTTTAAGTTTTATTTAATTTTATAAACAAAAAAAAACAAATTAAAAAAAATAATAACTGGTGAGGACTGAACTCACGATCAGGTTCAAAGACCTAGGCTTTACACCAACAAGACATGTTAAATACGAGTGTTAAAAACAGGATAATTTATTTTTAATATTTTAATTATCCTTTAAATATTAAGCAAAATGAGTTTGCGTATTAAATTTTCAACTAAAAGATTCAAATTAGTTTACATTTTCTTTTAAAATACCGATTAGCTTTATAATAATAACAACCTTTCTAATGAAATTTTCTAATGAAAACGTAAACTTTCCAGTTAGATTTGAATGTGCAAAAGCCTACTTTGGATGCTGATCGTAGAAAAAATATTTTTCTTCAACAGTTTGCCTTTTGAGGCGTTGCATTCGATTCCTACATCCCATTTCTTAAGTTTTCTTAGTAAGATACTATACACATTAAAATTTTTATCTCATTTTGTGTCTTTCTTAATTCTGTCCAACCACCATCCATTTCTTTTTTCTTTTTCTAATTTTTTGTTTTATATTCATTTTTACCATTTTTTCCTGATCCATACTTATTATTATAATAATTTAGGTTTTTGTCAACATACGCGTATGTTCATGTTAATTATCATTTTCATTATTTCAGGATGTCGACGATTTTTGCACAGCTTATATAATCGCGCACTATAGAGTGTTATGGTTAGAACTCAGCGAAATGTTACAAGGCATTGGAAATGCTTATGCTAGAACCTACGCGTCTTATTCATTATTTATGATTGCCAACATTACTATTGCAGTAAGCACATAATTTTTAAAACACTTGAAAATCTTCGATTTTTTCATTATAATCTTCCTCTATTTCTTTTATCTATTGCTGGACGCCGCTTTGGCGTCCATTTTTTAATACCCTATATCACATTGGTGGGTAATTTTCAATTTCTGTTATAGACACGCAAACAAGTTTCAAATAAAAGTTATATGGATTTAAAAAATTCATGTTTTAAAAATATTTTTGGATTCACAGGGTTTTAAATTGAACACCCCGTATTTTATGTCAGTTTTAGAATGGTTTGGTTATACTGTATTTAACCCTAGAATGTTATTTTAAAATATTACAGGTTTGCCAAGAAATTATTTTTTTTTTATAAAATTAGAGAATGAAGCAGACCCCAAATTAAATTATAATAATTTAGGTAGGTATAAAATGATTTAAATATTGTTTAAAATACAAACTTAGAAGATAGTAAGCTAACAAATTGTGGTGATAGAATTGGAATATTTTATACAGGGTGTTTTGAAACATGTCTTAAATATGGCTAATTTTAAGTTCAATTTATTCAATTTTTTTAAATGCAACACCCTGTATATTATTTTAGCAATAAATTTCTGGTAAATGTTTCTATCCAGTAACACATATACAGAGTGTCCCATCAGTACGTAATTGATCGATAGCTGTTTTATTATTGGAAATACGAAAAAAAATTAATATTAAAATTGTATGACCAAATTTACCAAGTTATCTTAAATATACAGGGTGCTCGATAAACGAGGTACTGACCAAAGCTATACTTTTTTAAAGAAAAACACCATGCAAGTAATAATACATATTTGTTTGTTTTCATATTGTCAAACCATTTTATTAGACTTCATTCATTTGCTATGTTGTATATAGGGTGTGTCAAAACGAGTTTTTCAATTTTTTAAATGGAATACCCTGTATGTTACAATTTAGAAAATCGTTACCTCACGTATTGGCCCACCCTTTTTATAACATATCACATGAATGAAGTCAATATTAAAGTTGTTTGACTATCAGAAAATAATATTTCCTTTCAAGCCACAGCTCTAAGCAATAACCAGTTTAAAATTAATACTAAACAAGAAGAAGACTTCAAAAATGTCATTATCAACCTTGAATGCCAAAGAAATAAATTGGCATTCCTATGAAATTAAACAGAACATAGACATTAAAGTAATGGTTAGGGGTCTACCATCTACATCTAAACCAGAAGATATTGTTAAAGACTTGCAAAGTCAAGGATTAAAATGTAAAGAAGCTGTCAATATAATAAAGAAGGAAATAGAATTAACCGAGGATAACAATCGTAAACTAAATAAAAAACCATTGCCGCTATTCATGCTATCATTCGAAAATATTGAAGATATTAAGAAAATCTACGAAATCAAAGCAATAAGAGTTAGAATAGAAACCATAATAAAGTCAAAAACTGCCAGCTATTTGGACATACGCACAACTTTTGCAAAAGAGAATCAAGTAAAGCGTAAAGTGCGTAGGAAAACATCAAAGGAAGGATTGTGTAAAAAGTCCAGAACAACAACCGAAGTGTATAAACTGCCTAATGGAACATCCTGCTAACTACAGAGGATGTGAGGTAGCTAAAACCTTTCAGATAAGGAAGGATATCATCACTAAACCTAAAATAATGACGAGGCAGAAAAAATCCATAAACTCTTTTTCTACTGTCAGAAATGAAATAACATTCTCATTTAACAAACTCACAGCAGCAACCAATTCAAAGGTCACAACCAGCCATGAATTCCACGCCACAAATTGCACAGCATACTGTAATTTCAACCAACTTAGCAGAAAGTACTACTCATGAATTATTATTATCCTTAATAACCAGAATAGATTCACTCTCTGACAGGCTCCAGAAGCTAGAAGAATTAAACAAACCCCAAACATATAACAAAACCACTAATGGACAAAAGAGATATTAGAATAGCTACTTGGAATGCCAATGGTATTCTCCAAAAACAAACTAATATCCAAGTTTTCTTGGACGTACACAAAAAATAGATTATATGTCTGATTTCTGAGACCCACCTTACATCAGAGTCATACATTAAATTCAGAGGATATAACTTTTATCACACTATCCATCCATCAAATGCAGCAAGAGAGGAAGTGCGTTAATTATTAAAAATAACATTTCCCACTATGAGGAACCAGGCACCCAAGAACTAGAAAATCAGGTAACCATTAGCACCATTAACATTAAGGGGGGCAAAATTACAATAGCTGCAATCTATTGCCCACCAAGATACAACCAGAAAAAAGAAAATTATCTCAATGTACTCAAAAAACTAGGTAACAAATTTATAATCAGTGTAGATTACTCCAAAAACACCAACTGAATTGCACCGAGCTGTATCAGAACTTGGTTGTACATACCAATCTTCTGAAAAACCCACCTATTGGCCCACCGACCCAAATAAGATTCCAGACTTTTTAGATTTCTTTATAATAAAGAAAATTTCACCAAACTATACCCAAGGTAGAAGAAAACTTTGATATGGATTCAGACCATTCTGCAGTAATCCTTACTCTAAGTGATAATGTTATTCCAAAAGAAATCAAACCGACCCTAGCAAATCGGAAAACTAATTGGGAACGTTCTCAAGAGGACTTAACAAATACTATTCAACTGACCATAACACTAAAAACAAAAAAACAGCTAGATGAAGAACTGGAAAGGTTTATAGTTGAAATCCAGCAAGCTGCATGGAAAGACACACCCACCAAAAGTAAGAAGATTAACAGCTGGAAAAAACTATCCTAAACTTTTTTTAAAAAATCGGTTCTTACGTTGAGATGTATTTAGAAAAGGCAACAATTTAAAAATAATTTCAATAATACAGGGTGCTCCAGGAAATTGGAATATATCAAAATTAGGTTTTTTAATCTGGACACCCTATATTTTATTGAATTTTTGAAATCTATAAGGAAAATTAGTGTAACTTTTTTAAGGGGTTGTTATACCTAGAGTCAATCATTTTTGATATATTCGAGGATTTTCAAAATTTTTGGGTGTTTAAAAAATGCAAATATATCCTACATTTCTTAATATTTCAAATTGATTTTTTTAAGGTACATTAAGCGTCTTCTGGGCTATAACCTCAAATACTTACTGATCAAAAATATTATATAGGGTGTTTACGAAATACTATTTATTATACGTAGATTTAAACACTAAAAACTTCATTATTTTAAATAGAACACCATATTTATTTTAACGTTTTTTGAAGTATCTTTCGAAACCCTTTCAAACGATGTAGGTATTCCCTATACCTATCTGTGATAGTTTTACTAACATTGTTACATTTTTTTTTTTTGAAACACGAATTACAAAATAATACAAGATAATAAATTCATTTAATAGATGTTCAAAATGATGACTGTCTTCTTGAATACATATTGTGATCATTCGTTCAAACGAATTTCTTACTCTTTTTAGCATATCCGGCATAATAGTTGCAAATGCATTCTTAATTCGTTCCTTCATATCTTCTGGCGTGGTTGCTGGGGTATTGTATACAAGACTTTTTATGTAACTCCATAAAAAAAAGTCTGGGGGTGTTAAACAGGGTGATCTAGGTGGCCAATGGCATGGGTCTCCTCTTCCTATCCATTTATTAGGAAATTTCCGGTCTAAGTAATTTATCACGTCCCGCGCAATATAAGAAGGAGCACCATCTAATTATAGCCACATTTGTTGCCGTACGTTCAATGGTATATTTTCGAGAAGCAGCCAAAAATCTGAACGAAGAAACCTCAAAAAATTATTTCCATTTAGATGACTATTAAAAAATATGGGCCTATAACTTTCTCTCCAATAATCCCCCCATAAACATTTATGCTCCATCTGTTTTGTCGGTCAATAGTTCTAAATAGGTGCCGATTTTCTGTATCATAGTAATGGAAATTATTGCGATTTACTAAGCCATTGTTATGGAAAGTGGATTCGTCTGTAAATAAGACAAAATCGAAAAAGTATCTATTTTTTCCTACCTGTTCTAGCGCAAATAAACTAAAATCTATGCGTCGCTGAAAATCAGTACTATATAAATGTTGATTGGATATGGTAAGGGTGGAATCGGTGTTTCTTGAGAATTCTCATTACACTGGTTCTAGGTATATCCATTTGCCTCGAAATTTCCCTGGTGCTAATGTGAGGATTCTCCGTTACTGAAACTAATACTAGGAATTCGTATCAACTACGGGTTTTCTCACAGTTTGTTTTGAATATGCAACACTGCCTGTTGTACGAAAACGTTCTAAAACTTTTTCAAAAGTTCTCTTATCCGGTTGATTTGTGTCTGGATACTTTTGGGCATAAACCCGTGTTGCTAAAAAACAGTTTTCATAACACTCACCTATGGTGAGAATCATATCCACCATTTCTTGCATATAATATTGCTTTATTTTAATAATAACATTGCACAAAACACAAAGTAATACCTATTGGAAACAGTTTAAATTAAAATGACATAAATTGACATTCAATGCCCAGACACCTTGATTAACTAAATTTACTGAATTATTTAAATAAATTATAAGAACTACACTATTCTCTAAAACAACAACATATAGGTATAGGGAATACCTATGTATATTGTTTGAAAGGGTTTCGAAAAATATTTTTAATAATGTTAAAATATACTGGGTGTTCTATTTAAAATAACGAAGTTTTTGGTGTTTAAATCTACGTAAAATAAATATCTATTTCGTAAACACCCTATACGGAATTTTTGATCAGTAAGTATTTGAGGTTACAGCCCAGAAGACGCTTAACGCACCTTAAAAAAATCACTTTGAAATATTAAAAAATGTAGGATATATTTGCAGTTTTTAAACACCCCAAAATTTTGAAAATCCTCGAATATATCAAAAATGATAGACTCTAAGTATAACAACCCCTTAAAAAAGTTACACTAATTTTCTTTGTAGATTTCAAAAATGCAATAAAATATAGGGTGTCCCGATTAAAAAAACCTAACTTTGATATATTCCAATTTCCTGGAGCACCCTGTATTATTGAAATTATTTTTAAATTGCTGCCTTTTCTGATATACATCTCACCGTAAAAATCGATTTTTTAAAAAAAGTTTAGTTTTAGATATACAGACCGAGGCGTTACCGGTGGACCACCCTGTATAACTACCTGCAGGGTGTTGTGCTTTAAAAATGTGTAGCTTCGATCAGCACTTCGTTTATGGAACACCCTGTATATTTAAGAATAATTATTGTTAAATATGGTCACACAACTTTTATATTAAAAATTTCTTCGTATTTACAATAATAAAACAGCTGTCAATCAATTACGCAATGATGGAACACCCTGTGTATGTGTTATTGGCTAACATGTTGGTATCATTGGATAGGTAAATATATAAGGAATTTGACGCTAAAATAATATACAGGGTGTTGTATTTGAAAAAATTAAGTAAATTGAACTCAAAAATAGCCATATTTAAGACATGTTGTATGACCACTATTCGCTAGCTTAGTATATTATAAGACTGTATATTAAACAATTTTGAAATCAATGTAAATCTACCTAAATTATGATCATTTAATTTAAGATCTGTATGATTCTCTAATTTCATGAAAAAATTATTTGCTTGACAGCCCTGTAATGTTTTTCAAAAAAGTTTTAGGATTGAATATAATATTATTAAACCATTGTAAAAATGAATTAAAATACAGGGTGTTCTATTAAAAAATATACATTTTTATTTGCCAGGCAAAAATGCAACACCCAGTATAGCCAAAAATATTTGTAAAATATGTATTTTTCAAATCTATATAACTTTTATTCAAAACTTGTTTGCGTGTCTATAACACATTAAAATATTGAACAATTACGCACTAATGGGACACCCTGTATATAAGCTAGTGCAGAGCAAGAATATTTCTTTTTTTTAGACCTATGGATTCATTTCTGAAATCACAGAACACGGCATAACGTTTTCTTTCAAAGAAATGGGTCTGATGGTGGCTAGTTTATATTGCATGACTCTTCTCTACATATATTGCGATTGTTCACATAAAGCCTCTGATGCTATAGCATCCAAAGTTCAAACATCACTCATGAATATACGGTTAAATACTATAGACAAAAGCGCTGCTAGAGAGGTAAGTAAAATAAATTAAACATCTATGAATTCAAATTTTTAGTGCCTGTTTGCATTGTGATGGTTTTGCGACTAAAATGACAATACACGTTAATTTTTTATTTCTTCAATAAAAAACGTTTAACACCCTTGCTACGTTACGGGATCTCTATGTCCCATCATTGATCTTCGGTTTAGGCGGTACGGGACAAATGTGTCCCGTATAGTTCGTGCGTTTGACCTTTGTCTAGTGAAATTTCACTTAAAAATATATTTTGATATACTCTTTATTATAAAGGATCAACAACTGTATATACTGCGTGCGCAGGACGGTGATCCAATGGCCCCTACCGCAGAGATTCAAATTTTTGGAAGATTTATGAAAATAAAAATCTGTGTACTGAGAAATATAATTATTTACTAAAAAAAAATTCAAATTAAGGTGCCTGTCCAGCTTGAGATGCATGTGCCGCGATAAAGAATGATAAGCAATAACCAGAGTATGTGCTGCTGATAAAAATGTCCAGTAACTTCTTCAAAGAAATAGACTAGAGTGGGAATAATTATCTTTCAAACTTGTTTCAATATCTGATCCACCTGAAAAACATACAGGGGCCCAATTCCTGAAACTGTGCGCTAAAGCCGTATTTGGTTAGCGACGCATAGTCGCCACCGCATGCGACGGAAAAGTTATATTCTTGACTATCCTTCGTTAGGGTAGTGTCATGCCGCATTGTGTAGCGAAGAGTCTTTGATTATTACAGCAGTTCAACCGTTTTCAACCAATAACATTTCAGAACATTGTAATAAAAACTGTATTGTCGGCTAAAAAATGTAAAAAAATTAACCTGTGTGAATTTCAAATTAGTAGTTTCTATCATTATTAAAATAAATTTGAGTAGGTATTTGGAAATGAAGATAAATGGTAATAAATGATAATAAACGGAAAACTTTAAAATTAGCAAAATACTTTTATAACAAAAATAGAACATCCTGACGTCCGGTGTAATTAAGAGGTTGTAGTTCTGCATCTAATTGTGCCTCTTTAATATTTAGTATTAATTGTATAAAGTCAAATTCCTCCATATCGTCCATTTTAGAAAAATATTACACTTGTAAATACAATAACTAAGTAAAGTTAATGAGATAATGACCAATGAACACTTGGTAATTATAAAAAATTCTTTAAAAAAAATAAACTAGGAAGAATAATTATATTTTATATTAAATCTATGTGACAGTGACAAGTAACATGCTTGGATACACATAGTTACGGCATGCAAGACAAGGTTGTCGAATGGTCAAGACCACGTACTTTGATTTTCTCTTACTATACGGAGAATGGTCGCAAAATAAACTAGGAAGAATAATTGTATTTTATATTAAATCTATGCGACAGTGACAAGTAACATGCTTGGATACAGATAGTTACGGCATGCAAGACAAGGTTGTCGAATGGTCAAGACCACGTACTTTGATTTTCTCTTCCTATACGGAGAATGGTCGCACTGCGCAGCATTCTGAGTGCCTTTTAAAAGGAGATAGAAAACTCCGCCATTTTGATGCCTTATTACGTGTTACCTACATCTTGGCGCAATATTTTTAATATTTTACTTGCTGCTGTCAGTGTCAGTGAATATTATTTTTGGAGTCACAGTTTTTTGCTAAAGAATCAGTTAGCTCACTCGGACCAGTTGAAAGTTCCAAAATAACATCCACTACAGGGATACAAATTCAGGATGCGCCGAAGACTGCTGTTTTATTATAGGCGGTTGTCATATATTGTATTATCCGAGTTGCGCAGTGTATAAACTGGAGCATTGAGTTCAAAAGTGCCGACGCAGAGTGAGCGAACTGATTCTTTAGCTATAAACTGTGGCAAAAGCATCAAAATGGCCGCGCCCTATGTTGGGAATGTCGGACCTCTCTCTTACACCGTATAGTAATCAAAGTATTTGGTCAAGACCACATACTTTGATTTTCTTTTACTATACGGAGAATGGTCGCACTGCGCAGCTTTCTGAGTGCCTTTTAAAAGGAGATAGAAAACTCCGCCATTTTGAACCCTTATTACGTGTTGCCTACATCTTGGCGCAATATTTTTAATAGGTGCATTTTAATCATCCGCTTCTGCTTCGGAATTGTCAGTTTTCTTGTTTTAATCTGACAGGTTAAAACGACTAAACCGACAATTCCGGAAGCAGAAGCGGATGATTAAAATGCACCTGATATTTTGCTTGCTGCTGTCAGTGTCAGTGAATATTATTTTTGAAGTCACAGTTTAGTGCTAAAGAATCAGTTAGCTCACTCGGACCAGTTGAAAGTTCCAAAATAACATCCACTCCAGGGATACAAATTCAGGATACGCAGAAGACTGCTGTTTTATTAAGGCGGTTGTCATATATTGTATTATCCGAGTTGCACAGTGTATAAACTGAAACATTGAGATCCAAAGTGCCGACGCAGAGTGAGCGATCTGATTCTTTAGCTGTAAACTGTGTCACAGGGTTCAAAATGGCCGCGCCCTATGTTGGGCGTGTCGGACCTCTCTCTTGCCTCGTATAGTAATCAAAGTATGTGGTCAAGACACATACTTTGATTACTATACGGTGCAAGAGAGAGGTCCGACATGCCCAACATAAAGCGCGGCCCACATACTTTGATTTTCTCTTACTATACGGAGAATGGTCGCACCCGAGAATAACGATCAAGGAGAAGCGACAGCTTAGTGTTTTTAGCGTACCGTTTTGTAACGCGCATGTGCGAAAATAAGTTGTGTATCACTCAAAATGATGTTATCTGTCAAAGTCAGTCCAAGTTGTGTTTAGTACGTGAGCAATGTAAAGTGATATTTTTTGGTGTTTGTTTTGTGTAGTAATAAGATGAAGATTTTTACACACTTAGGTATTCTAATGCAGATATAAAATGTGTTGGTCAAAATAGGCGAAATCCCTTTATTATGGCTAAATTGTAAGATGTTTTGCCCATTCATATTTACATTTATTGAATGAATCATACTGGAGTTGATTTTGGAAATATTGGTGCATACTTAAATAAGTACTATTTCTAAAAATTCGTCTATGCACACATAGTCCAATGTACGTCCACTTTAGATCTATTTGAGGGTCAGGACGTCCATATCCGGGCATCCAGTGTACGTCCGTTTATGCTAATTAAATTGACACCTGAATATCGATACCCAGAGTACGTCTGTTTTTGGACTTAATTTTAAGTTTAGTAGTATTTTGACGTCGAGTGGACGTCCATCTTAGGTCATTATTTATTAAGCCTACCAGATAATACTCATCTATAATATATATTTCTTTTTTTAATATAACTGGTCATTAAAAATTGACAAATTGAAGCTATTGCATTTCATTCTATCAGCGGAAGTTTGAAATCTTATTCAATTATAACTGTATCTAGTAAAAAGTTTTCAAGTGGTTCCTTGGTCGAGCTCGTCTAGCATTTGAAAGCGTAAAACGATAATGGATGTGTCGTGAGTTCAATTCGTGCTCAGGTCAAGCAATTTTTAATAAAAAAAAAATAAATGGTGTATGGCGGTTTGCAAAAATAATAAAAAAATTATTAAAAATATAAAATAGTGTGTGGTAAGTTGCGGTTCTGTAAAAAAAGTGGGGATGTGGTCTCAATGGAAATATAATCCTTGACGTTTTTTGAATGTCCAGTATTCGACGTCCAAATATATTCCAGAATTGAACGTCCTCTGAATGGTCAAAAGTGTGCCATTTGTATGCTTCACCGGACGTCCATTGGATGTCGGAAGTCCAGAAAAAACTCATTTTTGGACGTCTAGACATCCAAAATTGTATATCGAATGGACGTCCAATGGACATATTTGTATTGTATGGGTGATATCCAGGCCAGGTATTTAACTCTAAATACATAAACCTTAAATGACATCTGGCTTAACTTGGCGAGAAAACACTTGTTTATACAGAAATGAGTGATAAACTTGAAGGTCCTTTTAATATAATATAAATCCAGAAATTCTAAAAATATGTAAGTACTTCTTAAACCTAAAAGTTTTGAAAATATAAGCACATTGCAAATATTTAGTTAAATCTCTCAAACTTAATGTCTTTTTAATTGCTACCTAAATTTTTTTTGGCACCCTTAATTTTATTTACCTTATTTTTACTTAAGGAAAAGGTAATTTAATTTTAAAATGGGGCTTTTATTACTTTTTTAACAATGAATAAACCAAATATTGAACAAATTTTATAGATAAATTATAAAATAATAAACGTCTTTTACTTTTATAACAAATAATTAATTATTACATAATGAATTATATTTTGGTGCCGAAATTTCACCATTGCTATTAACCCTAACTACTTCAATGTAATTAAATCACATTACAACATTTGCGCATGGACTATAACAATGATTTCAGATAATTTGCCAAACTATTTCGCTCAGTGTAGAAAATATGCATGTTTTCTCAGCGTGCTAAGTTGTGTATCAATCAAAGTCATGCTGTGAAAAAGGTACATCCGATATCAAAGGCACCGACAGCTACTGTCGCTTCTCCTTGATCGTTATTCTCGGGTCGCACTGCGCAGCTGTTTGAGTGCCTTTTAAAAGGGGATAGAAAACTCCGCGATTTTGATAACTTATTACGTATTGCCTACATCTTGGCGCAATATTTTTAATATTTTGCTTGCTGCTGTCAGTGTCGGTGAATATTACTTTTTATAGCTGTTGCATGGAGTGTTTTGTTCGTTTCGCCGTTTACCGTGATTTTACCATTTTCTTTGTGTTTACATAAATCCCAATTAACAAGTTTTGAGGATTTATATATCATTTTGTGTTTTAGACGTGATTTACACGATTATTTTTAATTAATTGGTGATTGTATGTTAACTTTTAGTGCTTTGTTGTTCTCTTTTCATTGTCTAAATACCAGGATGTATAGACTACCAGTTTAACATTTAGGAAATGTATGTGTTACCTAACCTAGTAGTAAAGGCACAGTTTATTTCTAAAGAATCAGTTAGCTCACTCGGACCAGTTGAATATTCCAAAATAACATCCACTCCAGGGATACAAATTCAGGATGCGCAAAAGACTGCTGTTTGAATATAGGCGGTTGTCATATATTGTATTATCCGAGTTGCGCAGTGTATAAACTAGAACATTGAGATAAAAAGTACCGACGCAGAGTAAGCGAACTAATTCTTTAGCTATAAACTGTGGTAAAGGCATCTAAATGGTAGCGCCCTATGTTGGGCGTGTCGAAACTCTCTCTTTTACCGTATAGTAATCAAAGTATGTGGTGCGGCCATTTTGATTCCTTTACCACAGTTTATAGCTAAAGAAACAATTCGCTCACTCTGCGTCGGCATTTTTCAGGACCGTACGATATTTGTTTGTAGTTACATCTCCTCTTGTTATCTCTGGTATATACCGATATGCGCTTGATTTAGAGTAGGAGAAACGGTCCCATCCACCTTCTAGATTATATTCTTTTAACTGTGCCTCTAGAGACCACACGCCAAATTGTGTGCCCATCTTTTGAAATACTTTCACGCAGATGCTCAGATTAATAGATTGAAACAACAATATGTAGTCTTCGCCTATACCTTTAATGGGCAAAAAAGTACATTATTTACTAAGGACCTCTGACGGATTTTTTTAGAACTATGCTTATTTTAGATACATACGGTTTTTTGTATACACCTGTGATAACTGTCATGCTCCGTGAACAACCTGTCAAATAATTTACCAATCTTCTAATGGCCAGATCTTAAAGTTCAATACATGTTGATGTTAAAACACGTAACACTAATGCTTTATCTAGCTGTTATAATAGTCAAAGGGTACCTGACTTTTAAACGACATCTGTTTTGGAACTACGTACTTATTGGTGCTATATCTTCTTCTCTTTTTATATGGGATTTGAGACGAGTTGAAACACCTATAATAATGTCATCCAATATGAGTATATTTTTATTCTGTACATTGACGTTATAATCTTATACCTTACGTCTAACTATTACCTTCTGTTACGACTATACGTCTATCATTTTTATGATTTATTCTTACAAGATTTTGTTGCTTTTGATGAATTTATCGTTAAAATGTATTAAAAAAAACTACTCTTCTTTTTTTAGATTGATTTATTTTTGACTGCAATTCGCCTGAACCCACCAACTGTATCTCTTAAAGGGTATTCTGATGTAGACAGAAAGCTATTAACATCGGTAAGATAGTTAAAAAAATTTATCAAGTGGTGGTACTACAAAAGACAGTAGATTATTTTTATTAAAAAAAAATTATGATTTGTAAATATGGACGAATAACTTGTGAAATGCTATTATGTATCCATTCTTCAAAAGAATCACTCATTTTTAATTTAAATCTTAATAACTAAAAAATGTACTGACATTTTGTTTGACAGAATTGTAACATATTTAAAATTTAAAAAGTTATAGTATCCTGATGACCAATTATGGACTGGATTTTAAATCCGTGCAGTGTTCTTACTATATTCTATTTTTAACCGTAATCGGTTTTACCGTAACCGGTTTAACCGTAACCGGTTTAACCGTAACCGGTTTAACCGTAATTATTTTAACCGGAACCGGTTTAACAGTAACCGGTTTAACCGGAACCGGTTTATAAACGTATAACCCTATTTATGTTTTGTTATTAGGTATTTGTTATTTTATGTCCCAATTAATTATAATTTATTTTTGAATTTTTTTTTACTTGAATATAGTTTATGTTTTTGTTTATTAGTTTTACCTACTTACCCACCCAGTGGGAAGTGAGTGATTGTTTCCTTTTTTTAAATTTTAAATAAAGTTCAGCAAAAGAAAAATTGGTAGTATTATTTCTATTATTCTAATTTAATTTTTATTAAGAGAGTGCCTATTTTAAAAAGCAAGCATGCACTGTCTGGTTGTCACGGGTAAGTAAAGGTGAAATGGTTAGTAAAGTGACCCCATTTCTATTGAAAACAAAGGATTTGGTGGATGTGTTTTGCCACGATTAAACCAGTGATGGTTACAGTTAAACCAGTAACGGATAAACCAGTGACGGGTTTAACTGGTCACGGTTACGTTTAAACCGCCGAATCCGGTTTAACCAGTCCGTTTCGACTGTCTCGGTTTGATCGGACCGGTTAACCGGATAATCGGAGCAGTTAACCGGATAATAGGACCGGTTAACCATATATCCGGACCGGTTGACCGGATAATATGACCGGTTAACAGTATAATCGGACCGGTTAACCGGATATTCGGACAGGTTATAATAATGGTAAAAAGCCGGTTAAAACCGAAACCGGTCAAAATCATTTAAACCGGTTAACCGTTTATCTCGTCAGGAATTAACAGCCTTAAAAGAAACCTAAGGATACATCATTTATAACTATTTTTGATATGCAAAATTGGGACCGGTGGGCGTGGCTTTTGCACTTAAATGGCGGAAAAGCAGTTATAGATTTACACGTTCTTACTTCTACTATTTCTGGTTAAGTAAATCTGATTTGAATTAAAAACAATTAATTACCTTTACATATATTGTTTACTATTAAGTTTTTTATTAAAATAAAGGTTATAAGCATGTTTGAACAAAACTTGTATTAATTGAAGCTTTTTATAACCGGCATTTTCCTTAGTTAATAAACATAATTTAATTTTCCTACGACCACTTAGGAAAGTGACACATATCACACTATATAGTCCTATGGAAAGTGCCCTATATCACACGCGTATGAATAAGAATTTACTTTCCACCCGAGTGAGAATATGTTACTTTCCGCAGTAATTGTCACAAAATGTCAAACAGCTAATTTCCATTTTGATCTATGTAATATCCATATTAATACTAAAATCGATATGATTGTTAAATTATTGAAATTGTTGTAAATTAGATCCTAGATATTTATCTTTAACAATTATTATTAAAATAATTTTAAAACAATGTTTGCTCTTTATTCTGGTTGAATACATAATCGATTAGATCATTCAATTGACACAAGGGCTATTAGCTCAGGTGGTTAGGACGTCGAACTTATCAACTTTGCCATTTTTCGACCGCGTTCAATCGATGGTTCAAATCCTGGCGTGGCAGAAATTTTTTTTGTTTTTTTTTCTAGTTTTTTTTTTTGTTTAAAAAATATGAAAATTGAATAAATACGATTATTATTGTTGATTATTTTTTTAAATACATTTTAATTATTATAGTAATAATAACCTTGGTTTTACATTTTTTAGATGCTATTATTTTGTGGTCGTAGGAAAAATATTGTACATCACTTGTGTGAAAAGTGATTTTCCACACTCGTGTGATAGTCGCACTCGGCTTGCGCCTCGTGCGACAATATTTCCCACTCGTGTGAAAAATGTCACTTTCCACACTCGTAATGTAATATACTATTTATCACATTGAAACTCAACAATAATATAATATACTGTATTAAGTTTATTTAAAATCTACATTATACATATTTGTTTGTTTTCATAAAAAATAGAAAGTTACAATTTTTAAATTATCGTATTTCATATTCTACTGATAGATGTAAGGAAGATACAGATGCATATCAGACTCCCAAAAATTAAATCCAAATTATCCTAAAGTGAAAACTAAAGGTAATTCAAATGAAGATTTGCCGCACACTGTAGATCAGCTGATTTCGCCCAAAGAAGGTAACCTACATAACCTTAATCTTTGCTAAATTGTCATTTCATATTACAATTATTCATAGTGTTTGGAAATTGTGTCCTTTATTTCTATTTTATTCTGTGTCCTCATAAAGTAGTGTAAAAATTCGAAAAATAAAATTTGAAAATCGAATTTACACTCGGAAAAATAGTTAAACGACATATTTTTACAATAAAGATCCTCCATAACTATTAAGAATTATGTTATGACGTTTGACCACCCCCTAAAATAATTTTAATGTACCCAAGTAGTGTGAATATTCTAAAAATAAAATTTAAAAATCGAATTTACACTCGGAAAAATAGTTAAACAACATATGTTTACAATAAAGATCCTCCATAACTATTAAGAATTATGTTTTGACGTTTGATCAACCCCTAAAATAATTTTAATGTACCCAAGTAGTGTGAAGATTCGAAAAATAAAATTTGAAAATCGAATTTACACTCGGAAAAATAGTTAAACGACATATGTTTACAATAAAGATCCTGCACAACAATTAAGAAATATGTTTTGACGTTTGTCCCCCCTTTCAATAATTTTAATGTGCCCAAGTAGTGTAAAAATTCAAAAAATAAAATTTGGAAATCGAATATTGACTTGGAAAAAATTGGTCAAACGACATAAGTGCACAATAAATATCCACAACGATTGAGAATTATATTTTGACGTTTGACCACCTTCTAAAACAATTTTAATATGCCTTGAAAATTTGAAAAATAAAATTTTAAATCCTATTTCGGCTTGGAAAAAATGGTCAAACGACATGAGTGCACATTAAAGATCCATAACAATTTAGAATTATGTTTTGACGTTTGACCACCCCCTAATAAAATTATAATGTGGCCAAGTAGTGTGAAAATTAAAAAAATAAAAATTGGAAATCGAATTATCCCTTGGAAAAGTAGTTAAACGACTTTACAATAAAGACCCATAATGATTTAGAATTATGTTTCGACTTTTGACCACCCCCTTAAAAAGCCAAAACTTGATTTCCAAATTTTAGTTTTCAAATTTTCCCATTACTTGGGTACATTAAAATTATTTTAGGGGGTGATCAAACGTCAAAACATAATTCTCAATCGTTATGGATATTTATTGTGCACTTATGTCGTTTGACTATTTTTTCCAGACCGAATTTCGATTTCCAAATATTATTTTTTAAATTTTCACACTATTTGGGCACATTAAAAATATTTTAGGGGGTGGTCAATCGTCAAAACCTAATTCTAAATTATTATGGATCTTTATTGTAAACTTATGTCGTTTGAATATTTTTTATGAGTGAAAATTCGATTTTGCAAATTTTATTTTTCGAATTTTCAAACTACTTGGGAACATTAAAATTATTTTAGGGTGTGGTCAAACGTCAAAACATAATTTTAAACCGTTATGAATTTTTATTTTTCTTTTGTCGATTGACCATTTTGTTAAACTAGAAATTGGATTGGGAAATATTTTCTTTGAATTTTTAACCCCTCTGGGGTCTTTTGAGATATTTTAGGGGGTGATCAAACGGCAATACATAATTGAAACGTTTTTGGATCTTGTTGTGCCTTTCTGACCATTGAGCAGTCTTTCAAAGTTGAAATTCATCCCAAAGCTTCTGTTTTTCTATAATATACCCTTTTAAATTATTTTAAGGAGTGTTAAAAAAAATCTAAGGGGTGGTCAGACATGGTCAAAAATTGGTTAAACTTATGGTGCAGTCAGTTTTAAAAAATATTAACTTCGTGGGGCTAGCGGGCACTCGGCCATTAATATTTAGGTTTCTAAGGGTGGTCAAAAAAAGTTAGTGGGTGATCAGACATGGTCAATAGGTGATCAAACGTATGCCGCTTCTAAATCTAAAAATTTAGAATTTCGGGGGGCCAGCTTCACAGAGCTAACTTAAGGCAAGTTAATATTAAAAAAATCATATAATAAAATCTAAAAGCAATATCAACACGTAATTAAATCTTAAATAAAAATCTGAATAAATTGGGGGGTTAAAGGCGGGTTAAAATATTAAAAAAATCCTAACTCAAAATCAAAAAATGATATCGACTTGAAATTTTTAAAAAAAAATCAAGCGTTATAAGTAGAAGTCCTTTGATTTTGAAAAAAAAAATAATTTAAAATTGGGGGTTTAAGGAGGGTTGAAAGTAAAAAAATAATAAATTAAAAACGGACAATAATATCAACTTGAAATATTTGGCAAAAATCAAGCTCTATAAGAGGACAAAACCTATTGATTTTAAAAATATCTGAATAAAATGGGGATCAAAAAAATAGAAATCAAAAACAAAAAGCGATATCAACATGAAATGTTTGGTAAAAATCAAACTCTATAAGGGAATGAATAAATAATGGGTAATTAAAAATGGAGAGAAGAGGGGGGGGGGGGGGGTTGAAATATTGAATAGAATCCTAACTCAGAAACAAAAACGATATAAAATTGAAATCCTTAAAAAAAATCATACTTTATGAGGGGATGAACCGTAATGATTCTGAAAAAAAAAAAAATTTGATGTAAAATGGGGGTTAAGAGGTCTGTTAAAATGTAAAGTGTATAATATATCTTCATTCTAGTTTTATGCATTGTTTTACTGTATTGTTGCCATTAGTAATGGTGTGCAAAAAACGTCATTATTGTTAAAACTAAAGCAAAAAAAACGAAATATTTATTTTGTAATTCAAAATTCTGGATACTTTATTTAAAACTTTTTTCTTATTTTACCTTATCTTTACAAATATCTATACCTTTAAAAAATATCTGCTGCCTTTAGGTACCTACTTATAAAGTAATGTTTTTTAAAAATATAAATTTATTAACAATTCGTTTTTTTTTAGAGTATATCAACCATTGCAATTTACTTAATAGTTTTGCTACAGTTCAAGATCAGCTTAGTAAATATGAGAGGTGTGTAGTTATGCATTATTTATGATGTTGTTTACCTAGAAATAAAAGTAGAATACACAAGCTGTCTGCTGTTTTATTCAAAATCTTCTCAATTAATAGTAAATAAACAAAATTATTCAAACTTACTGCATTGTCGATAGTAGTACCAAGTTTTTCTAAAAATTCATTTTTTTCACCAATATATTTTAGTTGTTGAACATTATTTTTAGCCAGGAACTGATATGCATTGGAAACAGTGGTTTTTAAACACTACTTTGTAGCAGAAGTATGAGTTTTAATAATTTAATAATTACTTCGAATGCCATTATCAAGGCTACTAGCATTACTTTAAAACAAACATAATTATCGAACCAGAAACACCTTCTAAAATAACTTGAAAAAAAAAAAGAATGAAACAGAGTACATAATATTTAAATTTCATAAATTTTCGATCACAACTGGTAAGTATTAAATGCAGACTTGTCACAATTTTTCTCAATTTGAATTTCCATTTTTCAGAAAACAAGTTGACAATTGTTTTATATAGATATTATATCGCAATGGATTTGAAGGATCTAGAAGAGCTGTACGAAGAACAGTTACGTATGAAAAACCTAAGAAGTCTTATTAAAAGCCCCAGGGCTCGAGAGATAGCCGATAGAGCAAGGTTGGATTCTGCCGATGGTCGAGTAATAGATGAGCACGATCAATTTTATCGGGATCATAAATTGCTTTTGACTTTATTCAGGGTAATTCATTATTTATTTTACTTAATAAAAAATATACTTACTTTTGACCGAATCATTTTAGTTTACGATTCCAGTGTGTTTTAGAGTAGTTTAAGGATTTACCTGTTTTGCAGTTATTTCGACGAAATTATCAATTAACACTTGTGTCATTGTTCTTTCGGAGAAGCGAATTTTACTGATATATTATTAAATTAACAACAGTAATACTTTATCATTCGGAAATTGAATAATTTTGGAACATATTTTAAAATGATTATTTTTGAGACAACCTATACAATATACAGTAGCAATACCGAATGACAGTAAACTAAGTTCTATGGAATTTGATAATTTTTTGGTGTAATTTAAAGTTAGTTAATACGTCAGAGATTCTTCAAAAAAAATTATTGTATATGAAATAATTTAAAATTAAACATAATTTGGTGGGATAGTTATTTACTATTTTAAATGTCAATAATTTAATTTAAAAGAACAGTATCCAATTAAAATTAAATAATAATATTTTTTATAGATTAACAAGTTAAAAACTTATCAGAAATCTCTATTAAAAGTAGTTTTAATGTAGCTTTAGGTCAATTTTCCTTTGCTTGTCGCTGATATAATTATATTGTAGTTTACTTGAAACATACTCATCAGCACATATATTTTCTAGAATAAACAAAATGCCCCATATTCACTGCTAATTGTATACCAAACCTTTGTATATCATTATTTTTTTCGTTCTTACTAGCAACGGATTTAATTATATTTTAAAGTGAATAATGATTTAAAAATTACTAAATGGTAAAACGGGCGCATTTTTCTCCAGACCGGGATAAAAATAGTGTAAAAAAGTTAATAAGACAGTTACGTGAAATGCAGGAGTAAATAAAAAGACGAATAATTAACATATTTCACCATTAACATTAGATATTGTATATACAGGAGAAAACGTACGTTATCAATGCAATTATATTTTAAAAGTAAAGATCGTATTATATAATATAATTCGTTTTTGGTTCGTTTACCAATCAATATTTCCCATCCTAAGTATATATTCTGTTCGGATTGATTGTTGAAACCGGCTCTGTATGCCAGTCTTACAGCCGTATGCATAGTCGATCGCCAGCGACTCGCCAGAGATTCATTTCGGCGTATCGCCAGCGATTCGCTGGCGATCCGCCGGCGAAAGCCCAAAAAGCTGGTGACTCTCCGGAGATCACCGGAATGTCATTTCACGCAAGTTTTCATGTTCTTTTATAGGGAAAAATTTGATATTCGTTTATTATTTTTTGAGTTTTAAGAAATGAATCATGAATAAAATGCGAGAGATACCGGTGATAATCCCTATAAAAGAAAATAAAAACTTGCGTGAAATGACATTCAGGTGACAATCTCCGGCGAGTCGCCAGCTTTTTGGGCTTTCGCCAGCGGATCGCCAGCGAATTGCTGGCGATACGCCGAAATGAATCTCTGGCGAGTCGCTGGCGATCGACTATGCATACGGCTGATAATATTCCGAATCCGACACTGGCTATGTATATAAAATTTAGGATGTTATTATCAAAGTAACTTGTCACTGAATATATTTTCAAAAAAACTGTCTATTTTAATTTTTGGTATAAAAAATTAAGATTTCCTTACGAATCGGCAATCTATAAAGTGAGGCTTCAGCCCGTCATAATGGTCCTTCAGCTTGGATATTGATTTTGGTGGCAGTAGGAAGAGAAACTTGATTTTTGGGTTTACACCAGACAGGAGAATTTCAGTTTGGACGGTGACAAGAGGATAAGAATTACGAAGCGGGTCCTAAAACACGCACCAAGAAAAAATTTATCCGTTTTTCAATTTCGATAGTTCTATATCCAATATTGCCTACGGCAGATTAACAAAGTTAAGAAGAAGAAGTAAGAGTTAATTTGGCCAATTATTATTGTTAGGTATTCTAGATAAATTTACTAAACAAAATGAGGCTGAACTTACCCCTCAAGAGTTATCTCAATTTAAAGAATTAAAGAATGAGCGTAAAATCGTTAAAGGTCAGCTGACGCGGATAGAAACTTTCGTACACGATTATACCGATGATCAACAGGGTCATATTTTGATTAAGTTAAAGTTAATGGAGGGTTTTTGAAAAAAATTTGAGGATATTCAATATCAAATAGAAGCTTTAGAATTATCAGAGTCTGATACCTCAGAGAGATCAAATTTTATGGACAAATATTGCGAGATAATAGCTGGTTTGCAGCAGTTGTTAGATCAGGGAGGAAGTAAAGATTCAGTAAGGCAAAATAAGGAGACTAATACAGATAACCACCAACTTTTTACGGGGACTTTGAGCATTGGTTAATGTTTAAGGATACGGTAGAAGCGGTTATTCATTCAAATCAGAGTTTGGGCGAGACCCAGAAATTTTATTATTTAAAAAGTGTTTTGAGAGGTGACGCAGCGGATCTAATAATATCTTTAAAAAGTGATAGTACAAGTTTTTACGAAGCATGAGATCTTCTCAGAGAAAATTATGAAAATAAAAAATTAATCGCCACCAGTCATTTAGAATCGCTAATTAATTTTCCACCAATCAATTAAGAGTCGTATTCGTATTATAGGAAATTTTTGAATCAAATTCGTAAAGATTTGCGGGCTTTAAAATCTTTGGGGTTAACTCAAGTTAGGACTCTGGAAATAAAAATGTGTCTAAATCCTTTTCCTGTACAGAAGGTAATGAGAGGGCATGTGTAATATGCGGCATAAAACCAATACATTCACTGCAGGTTTGTAAAAAATATCTAGGGATGAGTGTGAATGATAGGAGGGAAGCTGTAGATAAGTCAAATTTGTGCTGGAATTGCTTAAGGGTAGGTCATAGGGTAATACATGCAGATGTAGGGGTTGTAGCAAATGTGGGAGAAGGCATAACGTGCTGCTTCATGTAGATAATATTCCGGAGATAATTTCGGAAGGGCGGACGTTAGAAAGTGCCGAAAGAAATACGGTCTAAAAGCAACCGGTAAATACCTTTAGTGCACACAGCAATAATATTCAGGGTGATAGAGAGGTTTTAACAGAAATATTCTTGACAACTGCATTGGTCATGGTAAAAGATAATTTCGGAATGCCACACAAATGTAGGGTTCTTTTAGATTATGGCTCACAATCATCTCTTATTAGTAATAAGTTTCAAAAACGTTTAGGGTTGCCTTTGATATATGTTAATGTAAAAATTTGTGGAATTGGTCAAAGTTCACTAAAAATAAATAAAGTTATAACAGCTAGTGTACAATCAAACTATAGAGATTTTGAATTCAATGAGTCATTTTTTGTTGTGAATAAAATATCTGAAAATATATCAACCAAATCAGTTTCGCCAAATTCGCTAAAAATACCTAGTTTTATAAATTTGTCTGATATTACTTTGGGGAAAATGGGAAAGATAGATATGTTGTTAGGTGCTAGTGTTTTTTGGGAGTTGTTGTGTCCGAAAAGTATTTAAATTGGTACAGGAAAAACTACAGCACAAGAAACAAAATTGAGATGGGTGATTTCTGAACCAGTGGCGGCCGAAACAGTTAATAAATGGAGCCAGGAGCAGGTCCAAGTTGCGAATTTGTCAACTAATGTGGGTTTGCAAGAGCAAATAAAATGGTTTTGGAAATTGGAGGAGATTCCACAATCGAAGAGATATACTAAAAAAGAACAGCATTGTGAAAATTTATTCGTGGAAAACACTGTAAGGGATAAAGAAGGACGATTTATAGTGACACTTCCATTTAGGGAACAAATTCCAAATGTAGGACAGTCTTATGGCATAGCATTAAAAAGATTGTTGTATATGGAAAGAAAATTATCAAAAAATGAAGATATGAAAAGGTAATATAATCAATTTATTCAAGAGTATATTGAGATGGTACATGCTTTATTAGTTGACGGGTAGGGGGAGGTTCTAGATGGGCCAGGCATATGTTATCTTCCTCATCATTCTGTTGTTAGGGACACTTCAATTACTACCAAACTTCGTGTAGTAATGGTTTATCTCTAAATAATAAATTGATGGTAGGTCCAAGCCTGCAGGACGATCAATTTGATATATTGATTCGGTTCAGAACCCATGAGGTAATTATGTCGGCAGATATTGCGAAAATGTATCCGCAGGTACTAGTTAGTCCAAAGTAAAGGGATTTCCAAAGAATATTGTGGATGTTTCCTAGTGATGGTCCGATAAAGATTTATCGTTTGAACATGGAACTGCCAGTGCACCATTTCTAGCGGTTAGGGCCTTACAGCAATTAGGGTATGAATAAGAAAAGGAAAATGAAAGGGTAGGCAGAATGATCATGAAGGACTCGTATATGGACCATTTTCTATCTGGGGCTAATTCGATATTGATCATTACATTTCAAATGAATCGGATAATTCGAAAACATTAGGACTCTTATGGAATTCAGAGACGTTAAAAACGTCAGAAATAAGGAAGGTAACGAATAGAAAAATTCTCTCTAGTGATGCACAAGTGTTCGATACGTTAGGTTTAATAGGTCCTACTATTTTAAAGGCGAAGCTCCTAATGAAATATTTATGGACTCCTAAGAAAGATTGAGATGAGGAGTTATCTCAGGATATTTGTTCATCGTGGGAAAAATTTAAAGAACAAATTATACAGCTTAAGGAATTGGAGATACCTAGGCCAGTTACTTGTAATCAAGTTAGGGAAATTGAATTACGTTGTTTTTGTGATGCATATGTCTTAGCCTATGGTACTTGTATTTATATTCGTTCAACTGATGTTCTAGGTATGCATACATCAAAACTTCTTTGTGCCAAATCTAAGGTTGCGCCATTAAAAAGCATCTCATTGCCGAAATTAGAATTGTGTGGTGCCCTTCTCTCGGCAAAACTGGCTAACGTTGTAATTTAAACTATTAATATAAATTTTACAAAAATTCAATTTTGATGTGATTCGTCTATTGTTTTGTCATGGGTGGCGGGAGAACCTACGGACTGGATAACTTTTGTCGCCAATC